TCTATCTATCTATCTATCTATCTATCTATCTATCTATCTATCTATCTCGTCTATCATCTCTCTATTTGTGAGAACAACCTTTCCAAAAGGGTTATTCTATCTGGGTAGATAGGATAGGCATACTCTTGGTGTCTTTATTTATACACTGTCACCTTATAGGAAATGTGCCTTTTCCCTTGCCCTTCTGGAATACTTTTCCCGCTGAGGTATGGCAGACCTCTATCCTCTTAGCCTAGAAGGCACTGAAGATTTAACCAAGTGCTGGTATAGAATGAGGTGACTGTATGCCAGAAGCTTAACTTGGGGCCAGGTTTTTTGTTTTGTTCATGTTTATGGTTTTAACAGTCTTAATATAGTTTTGAGTTGTTTTATTATAATATTCTTTAATTCTCCATTGGGAGCTTGGTATAACAATGGTGACTATATAAATGTTTTAAAATAAACAAACATTGAATTTTTGGCTATATTTCAAAATCATAGTTTTAGATATGAGCCTAAAAAGAAAGAAAATTGAGAACAATTATCACAATTATTTTGATCAATAACATATCTATATGAATGTTTAGTTGCATAGTTTTCATAAGTCAACAGGCAAAGTAATGCTTTAAGTAATATCCATCAATAGGGGAAAACTTATTCTTTATTTGATAACTAACATTTTTCATAGACATGTTAGTAAAAATAGAAACAAATAATTTCTTGGTAAATTAGAATTGCCTATAGGTGAGATGGGTAGCATACAAATCAAATAAGTAAATAAATATCTACTGTAATTGATGTGGATGCTTTATTCATATTTATTTCAAAAAAATCATATTTATTTCAAAAAGCAATTGCTTGTTGTCATCCAAATAAACTTTTTAGGACAAATGCATTCTACACTAAGAAATGAATTAACATCATTACGCTGAACTGGCATTCTATGTTTTTAATTAAATGATTGCATTAATATAACCTCTCTAATACTGTTATTATGGCTATATTGCTTATTTATTTTTAGTAGAAGCTGTTAAGAAATAAGTTGGAATTAAACAGGCCAATCCTCTTTAAATTCAAGTCACTTGACTGACATTGCCTTTCTAGTTGGACAGATTATTGCATCAACATAATAAATATTGGAAACCAATTATTTTCAGACTGTCTCTACTTTCTTAGTCTAATAATAGTTTTCTTTCTATCCCATCCCTACTTTATGTATCAGTAACTACCAAGATTGCTTGGCAATTCACAATAAAAAGATAAACCCATAAACCCAAATTAAAATTAAGTACTTTGAAAATACATTAAAATTATTAATATTTAGAAACTTGCTCAAAGGTGAGTATTTCCAAGCTCAGAAGGGTGTTCGAAGAACATAGGAAATTATAGAGAAGGCTCTGAATGTTAGATAAAGTCTATGCATATGTATATATTGTTGTTCACAGAATATGTGAGATTTAGATAAGTCTGAGAACTACTGATATGGTAATCCTTAATTTTAATGCAGTCAACAGTATTTCCTAAGTGCTGTTGCTATGATATCTAAAAAGGCCAGTTCTTCTATGTAGTTCTCAAATAGGTTGAGCATATAAGCTCTCCCATACAACTGGCTAGATTAGATGGCAAGATCATTGCCATGAAAAATGGCATTCTTGCCGGGAATGTCTATAGATATTCTCAGTCAAAGGTGCTTTTTCAAGAATCAACTAGACTTTTCCGAAAGTCCGGTTGCCTCTTGAAAAAGCACCTTTGGGACATTATTACCTGGGTATTACTAATCCCCCGTGAGAGTTTAATCATACTTCTTGTGACATTTGGGAGAATAAGAGTTGGACAGGTAAGAAACTTTTATATCTATATTGATGTATGCACAAGCAATTGAAAGTTGCAACGTAATTATTACTATTCTTGGTGGTCCTAACAATGAGCTTTTATGCAAATGAAACATATGGAACAATCTGCAATCAAGCGGCCTTTCCAGGTGCGTTATTCTGCACAACGATTCAGGTGCACATCCAACTATCTCAGATTTTAGCTCTCTTCTTCTGAAACCTTGCCGAAGTTCACTGTTCTCACCCTGAAGTTTTGCGAATTGCCTGCGTCCTTACCGCAAATCACACAAGAACAACTTGGCATTCTTACAAAAAGAAAAGAAAGAAAAGAAAAGAGACTTGTAACACTTGGGAAAATTTTATTAGAGGACCCTCGTCAACCCCTAACAGTGAAATCTTGCTTGCTGCTTGGCTTTGCCGTGTAAAGCGCCAAGCGCCTCCTTCCCCGTAAATTCAAAACGAGCGTGGGATTGTGAAGTGAACATCCAGTGCGTACTTCTAAACACGGAAAAGGGCGCAAATTTCGAGTGCCAAACTTTCCTCCGCATCTCGCAGCGCGAAAAAAAAAAAAAAAAAACGCCCTTGCCGTCGGCGCAGCGACGAAAACGCAAGCATTCCCTCAGCGAAGAGAAATGCGGCGCTGTGGGAGTGAGCGGGCGAGATAAACACGAATGCCTTCTGCTTCAAAGAGCCCTTTTCATCTCCCCCTCTCCTCCCCCCTTTGGGCATCTGACAGGAGGCCATGAGCTCACTCCTTCTTTCCCCGAGAGACTGTGCCACCACACCCAGCGACAACCCACACCAAGCGCCACCAAAAGCTTTTTTTTTTTTTCCTTCTCCCCGCCCCCTTTCGTTCTCTCAGTCCGGCCAAATAGCCGGCCGTGGCTCCCTTAAAATCCCCCATGGGCGTAAAAGCCGCCCATTCGCAACCAATCAGAAAACCGAATTCTCCGTATCGCCAACACCCCTCCCCTCCCCCGCAGTGACCGCCAGATTCTTTGTGCAATTTTCGGGGGGGGGAGGGGAGGGGAGAGGAGAATAATTATTCTCTCCATCCTGAGCCGGGCAGCCCCGCCCCACGACTCTTGGGGCTAGAAATGTTATGCCCCCGCCCCCACCTCAAACTCTGCTGCTTTTTGCAAAAGTTCCTGCTTGGGGACCAGAGAAGAGGCTAACGGAAAGGTGAGTTGGGGGATAAATTTTGTTTTGGTAGTTATGTTTTGAACTGAACTGAACTGAACTGAAATCTTTATTGGCCAAGTGTGATTGGACACACAAGGAATTTGTCTTGGTGCAAATACTCTCAGTATGCATAAAAGAAAAGATACATTCGTCAAGAATCATCAGGTACAACACTTAATGATAGAGCAATCAAATCATACTTGTGAAGAGTTGGACAGCGTTGAGGGGATTATTTGTTTAGCAGAGTAATGGCGTTTGGAAAAAAACTGTCCTTGTGTCTAGTTGTTCTGGTGTGCAGTGCTTTATAGCATCGTTTTGAAGGTAGGAGTTGAAACAGTTTATGTCGAGGATGTGAGGGGTCTGTAAATATTTTCACAGCCCTCTTTTTGATTCGTGCAGTATACAGGTCCTCGATGCAAGGCAGGTGGGTAGTTTTTTCTGCAGTCCTAATTACTCTCTGGAGTCTGTGTCTGTCTTGTTGGGTTGCAGAACCAAACCAGACAGTTATAGAGGTGCACCTTCCATAGGTCTTTTCCTTTGGAGAAGTGCTGTCCCAATTGAACTCTTCGAAATCTGAAGAGGGTCAGGTTTAGCCCTTTGAGTGAGCGAAGTGAATCAGGCAGGATTTGCCAGGTGAGGCAGCTGTGAGAGTTCCTGAATTGAGACTTTTATTCTTTTTAATTGAGCCTTGCTACTCGGTGGCATGCAGAATAAATGGAAAACCCTCACATTTGGAAGCAGTGCAAAGCAGAAGTGGTTCTGGGAGAAATGCAAGAGTTATCAACTTAAGGAAAGGTGAATACTTATTTAGGGGAAGGATTCTACCAAGAGATGTTCTACTTCAGCCTTGAGAGTTCTGCCAAAGTGATCCAACATGGTGCTGTGGAGGACAGGATACAAACCCAGTTAAAAGAGCAGGTTGTCTCAGAGCAAAGTTGTACCCAGGAAGTTGTTTCCAGGCCATATCTGTGTTTACAGCCTTTTTTTTTTAAAGTAATTGTTACTACTAGATATTTTTACATAGGCTTAAAAACTACATAAAGAAAAAGTAGAAAAAGAAGATGTAAAGATAAAGTGAAAGCTAACAAAATGAAAAAAAATGTAAAGAGACAATTTCTGATCTTTACAGCTGTTACAAACACATCTCCACACACCCACACTACATATGCTTTTCTTTTTTAAAACAAGCCTAAAACAAGTCAATTTAGCCATTTCTGCAAACGTATATGCTTACAGTTTTGTTACTCAATTTTTTTCCTTGTTCCCTTAGCCATAGCTTTTCTTCCTCTCATCAACTTAAGAAGTTGAAGAGATGATAATAAAATGTTTGCTTTATGTTGTAGTTGTTAAAAACCTACAAGCTAAAAATCCTTTGCAGATCCTCTTTCAAAAGGATTGAACTTTATGAATTTGTAGGTTTAATCCAGATTATAGAAGAGCTATAACATTGTTCCTTTTGTTCATATAGGATGTTGAAGACTATAAAACAAGCTCTTTTTTCTTCTGGCTTGGAGATGCCTAAATGGACTGCATTACCAAATCAGGTGACTTATGCATTTCGAGCCTTGGATTAGCCTCAACAAGTAATGGGACTAATTATCCAAGTTATCTTGAGAGAGTTAGCAATTGCACTTAGACTTCTATACCACTTCATTATGTTTTACAGCCCTCTCTAAGTGGTTTACAGAGTCAGCATATTGCCCCCAGTAATCTGGGTTCTCATTTTACCCACTTTGAAAGGATGGAAAGCTGAGTCAACTTTGAGTCTGTGAAAATCAAACCGGCGAACTGCTGGCAATCGGCAGTCAGCAGAATTAGCCTGCAATACTACATTCTAACCACTGCTCCACCATGGCTCAAATTTACAGGCCACAGAGGATCCAGATAATTCTAAATTAACCCAAATTAACCCAAAGAGATTGTAGAGGCTCAATCCATAGTATGTGGTTTCGAACGTTAGATGATAGGAATTTCCTGGCATGCTTCTAAGGGGGTCTAAATGCATATAAACACTGTAAATTGTTGGGGGTACTAAAAGGGGAAAATTGGAAACCAAATAGCTTGGTATTATTTGTCTGTTTTTCTTTTTCTTTAATAAGTACAAACAATATACAATGGAGATCTTAGTATTAAAGCTTAAATGGAAACCTTTATAATATAACAAATAGTTTCATGAAAATTGCAGTTTATTAATGCCACTTTTACCTTTGGATGTAAATGTTAAATAACTTTATGACTGACATTTTAATAATCACAGTTAATATTTATATAAATATCTTTTTATTTTTAAAATTTTTAGTTATCTAAATATTAGTGTTGGTATTCTAGTCAATATCGTATGCACACTATAGGATGTTCTACTTAGGTTTTATAATAATAGAATGCAGTAAAATAATAAAAAGAGTTTTCTTGCACAACTGCCTCTAGTTCAGTCTAGCCATGCCATAAAATCTGCATCTCTAGTAATAACTTTGCATAAATTGTCACTATATATACGCTGTTGTAGATGTGACTATCCCAGAAAAAACAATATTAAAGGGACAATGTGAATTTCAAACTTAATTTCATATGGCCCCTACTCCTTGTCTACTTTTTGAGCTAGGCCAAGTTAGGAGACAGAATTAGGAAAGAGACAACCTGAGCTTCTCTGACACGCTTCCATTGTTCACCAGCATGAAAGTTGCTTTGTTTATGTAGCCATCATTGTCTCTATTTTCTTGGCTCCTTTCCCTCCTTCTGTGATATTACACATCCTATACTGTTGCCTTCCTCTGTTTGGTATGCATTGACATTATGCAATACATAAGTTAGATTCTCCTTGGGAGCAGCCCTATCATTAAGTAGTACAAGATGGTCTTTTTAGATAGGAAACTGTGGGATACTCCAAATAAACTCTTATCGGCCATCTTGAATGAGGACTTGGGCAACAGCAGTCCTTGCATATTGATTGTGCTATCTCCTCATGTAAGTCACCTCACTAGTGAGATGGGTGGTATATAAATTTAATAAATAAATAAAACCACTTTCCTTCAAAGATAGATTAACCATGTCCTTGTTTGAGATGACAAACAGACATAGCCAGACCATAGTTGAGATGGCCATAAAAAGGTAGCTTATCTTGATCTGTTCATATGATGTATGAACAGGAGGAGCAAAGTGCTGAGTGTTCAAATTGTGTGCTTGTTCTGCCCTATTCTTGGCGTTGAAAGGCAGCCTGTCTGTTGTTCTTACAGAAGGCTAAGGGCAATGCTTTAATTCAATGTTGAAGTAAAATAATTTAACTGCTAGTTTCATCAACTTGTGATTAGTCAGATTAATTTTGCCTATTCAACTTAAATCAAATTAACACTGAAAGATTAGAAAATAGTGAATTAAAAACCACTTTGCTCAAAAAGCAAGTTTCTCAGCTCAGTTGTGGCTGTAAGTCAAGGACTATCTGTACATCATTTTTTTCTAGCTATTCCATAACTTTGAACAGTCAACTATCTAGTTGACGGGTGTCAAACTCACTGCATCACATTGCCGTCACGTGACGTTTTGTGACATTCCCCCCCTTCACGGAGCTGGGATGGGCGTGGCCTACATGTGACACATCCGGCCCATAGGCCTCCAGTTTGACACCCCTGGTCTAGTTTAATGAAAAGAAGAACTAGAGGTGCCATGATAACAGTGTTCCAATATCTCAGGAGTTACCACAAAGAAGAGGGAGTCAAGCAGCTGAAGGCAGGACAAGAAGCAATGGATGGAAACTAATCAAGGGGAGAAACAACCTAGAACTAAAGAGAATTTTCCTGACAGAACAATTAATCAGTGGAACAACTTGCCTCCAGAAGTTGTTGAATGCTCCAACACTGGAAGTTTTTAAGAAGAGATTGGACAACCATTTGTCTGCAATGGTATAGGGTTTCCTGTTGAGCAGGAGGTTGGACTATTCATTAGAAGACCTCCAAGGTCCTTTCCAATTCTGCAATTCAATTCAATTCTAACTGAACAAATAGCCATAAAGCAAGGATTATCACTGCTCTTTTTTGATATCTGTGAAGAGATTAGTCTGTGAAGAGATTAGCCTAACCTGACACCTGTCAGGTATATGGAGGCCAAAATCCAGAATTGCAGCATGGATAGCCTTGTTAGCATCAAGTCCTGGGAATTATGACCTAAACATGTTTGAAAGGTGTTTCAACTTTGTGAATGTTACTTGAAATTACTACCAAAGTAGAGAGCAAATCTATGTAAAGCCCATTTTCCCCCTCTCTTTGCAATAAAAACTAGACATTTAACACTGGGATGGAAGAGCATAGATCTTTTCTATCTTTACTTCTGTAGTAAATTTTCGCACTCCATTTTTTTATTAAACATTTCTACCATAAAGGAAAGTGTAGTTTTCTTTTGAAGCATGTAATGCAACTAGATTGAAATTTGACTGAGGAAATGACTGAGATAAGTAGCTCATCCTTATTTCTTTGCTTGAATCACAACCTTTCATGGATTTTTAAACTATCACATCACTAAATGCATTTGTGAATATTCTCCAGTAGGGTCATTCACACATTTGAAAAGACTTTGAGTGAGGCTAGTACCCCTGACTCATGAAAACAGCAGGTTTTTCTATGTAGAGCCAGTGCAGAATTCCTTGAAGCAGCTCTTTTTCAGCCTTGGGTACAAGCCTGGAAAAACTTGGGCTGCTTTAGTGATTACAGAGATGTACTGTGCATATGTTCAGAGCATATGTCAAACGTTTTTTTCAAATACTTTTTGAGGTGTGCACAGTCATAATACCTAAATGAGGCTGGGTGTGCTATAAGATCAGATTGCAGGATGGCAGTAGAATTTTTAAATGAAGTTGAAAAAATTGCGTTTAAACAATCCTATCAATACAATGCCTCCTTTTTAAAGATGTTCTATCCTTTATTCATTTATTGTTTATTTACTATGTTACATCCTACTTTTCTTCCAATGAGCTCTAACCAACTCTTCTATTCTCAAAACACAGGTGATTCGGGTGTGGTTGACTAAAAGTTACTGAATGAATGTCTATGGAGATGTTCAATCATTCAGGTCATAGTTGTTGCCCCAAAAGTGCTTTTCATTGGTGACTGGACTTTTTTGGATTTTTTTCTCCTGGAATATATTTCAGTTCTCATACAAGAAGATACTGAAGTTCCAAGAAGAACTGAAGAAGCTTCTTGGATGAGAAACAAAACGCATTCAAGGAGGACAAAACAACAACAAAGTCGAGTTGTCTTTTGAAAAGCATCTTTGGGTTACTGAATGAGCTTTATGGTCAAATGTGGGTCTGCCCTAACCTCACCTAACCCAGTAACCAGTGTCACTCTTAACCAACCATAGTTTAATATGTGTTTTTTTGTTGGTATTTCAATGAATTCCTTCAGAATTTATGATATGCAAATGTAGTAACAATGTCATGATCTGTGACCTGGACTTTTTTTAAAGGCATCCGATTATGAAATTCGACAGTATGAATCTGCCAAATGGGTGTGTACATCTCTTAAAACTGTAGATTGGGATGCAGCCATCAATGCTGGCTTCATGAAGCTCTTGAACTATATTAAAGGCAAGAATGAAAAAGGTAATATACAGGGTACTGGGGCACCAATGTATGCATCCTATTTTCCTGAAATTGTTCTTCTTTATTCACATGAAAAAAATTCATGCCACACAGATATATTTCATCATTTCCCAAAATGTTTGCTTTCCTAAAAGTCTTACATGCATATTCTAAAATCTTTTATTGGAAGCTGTTCTCTATTTTCTGGCTAAAGGCACATACAAATATTTTAATAGCCATTTCAAAATATAAAGAAGTTCTTAAAGTTATTAGAAAAACAACCATTCTGAGGACATTCATTTTACCAATGATTATGAGGTCAAATTGACTCACTCCTCTAAATTTTTGTTTAAAATTGCAAAGAAGTCTTTAATGATTGGATTGGAACCAATTTTCCTCTGCAGTAGTCAGGTACATTTTTAAATATTACTAAAGTTACTTTATTTGTAGGTTTAACTAGATTTCTGCCCAGAAAACATAGTAGATATATTTGGTGTTTTGACTGAGTTAGCTTAAGCTTAGTCATTTGATTATATTTATTTTGTGTGCAGTTTAATATTGAACTATATTTGCCTGTAATGAAACTCTTTTAATCATTGTTTCTGGCTGATGATAGTATTATTTAATGTATGGGAGATTTCAGGATTTTAGCATCCTAATTTAAAGACTTAATCCTTAAAGATTAGCAGTGTGTTTAGTTTGCTTCTTGGTCGGGCTAGTGATATGATTCTTCCTGCCTTTTGCAGGAACAAAGATACCTATGACAGCTCCAGTGACATGCTATGTCCAGCCAGGAGCTGGCCCGTTCTCTGAGTCCATCACAACAGTTGCCTTTTATTTGCCATCTCAGCACCAGGCAAACCCACCCAGGCCTTCAGAAGCAGAGGTCTTCATCGAAACTAAGCCAGCAATGACGGTCTTTGTCAGGTAAATATTAACCTCTGGTTTCTTGGACTGTAAAGGCAAGCCGGAATGTGGGGGAGCTATTATGTTCAGACATATTGTAATTCTATAGAGGAATTATTGAGTCTGTCATCTGCACATCTATAACTGTCTGGTTAGGTTCGGCAACCCAATAAGACAGACACAGACTCCAGAGAGTAATTAGGACTGCAGAAAAAACTACCAACCTGCCTTCCATCAAGGGCCTGTATACTGCATGAGTCAAAAAGAGGGCTGTGAAAATATTTACAGACCCCTCACATCCCGGACATAAACTGTTTCAACTCCTTCCCTCAAAAATGACGCTATAGAGCACTGCACACCAGAACAACTAGACACAAGGACAGTTTTTCCCCGAAAGCCAACACTCTGCTAAACAAATAATTCCCTCAACACTGTCCAATTATTTACAAAGTACTTTATGATTCTTGACTCTTGATGAATGTATCTTTTCTTTTATTGAGCGCATTTGCACCAAGACAAATTCCTTGTATGTCCAATCACATTTGGCCAATAAAGAATTCTATTCTATTCTATTACAATAAAAGTGTTAGTACTTATTGGTTAGTGTTTCTTGTCTGGACTAGACTGGGTCTCCGTTTATCACTTATATTTAAAGGACATGTTGATAGCAATGTTTTTGAAGTTTAATAGTTTTTTTAAAAAATCTATTCAGGTAACACAGTCCCTGTTTAAAATATCTATTTATTACTATCTGCTACATATTATTAACCAGCCAGTTGGTATGTGTGAGAGAAGGGTTTCCCCACACCCTTTCTAATGATCTTAATATAATAATGTTTAATCAGTTAAGATGAAAGAACTCTTGTTTACAAGAGTTGAGTGTAGTGGAGTATATCAGAGCTAAAAGCTATTTAAAATTGTTAATAACTTTTGTCTGCCCCCTTGTGGTGGATAAAATATGTAGTATATAGTTTTAAATATTCTGGGATTTTAAAAAAAGCCTGCTAAAATCAAAAGTCGTCAGGTGTTCTCAGATACTTTAGTGATTATAAATTACTAAATATAGTTTTTCAATTTTTGGACAACTTAGCTTAAGGTCTAACAGTACAAATAATAGTACTAAAAAGAAACTAGAGGATGAAAACAAGAATTCTGTGGATGAAATTTGTATTCTGTGAAAGGTATTTTATATACCATTACATTTGCACCCTCTCATTTCTTCTTTCTCATTTCTTAAACAAAGGACAGATGATAGATGACTAAGAATAATATAAATCAGTGCTTAAATTCTGGAAAAAGTATTTAATTAACACTAATTTTGAGTTTTGACTTTGTATGTTTGGTGTAAGTACTGTTTTTTCAAAATATGTATGTCTGTTCTTAACAGATCATTTGGAGGATTTGCTAAAGCCAAAAGAAATCAAGATGAAATACAGGCACTTGCTGAAACTTTAAGGCGGGATGGAAGAACATTTCAAGAAAAGATCTATTATACAGCTGGTTATGACAGTCCATTTAAGTTACTAAACAGGCATAACGAAGTTTGGCTTGTCAAAAGAACCTAAAATCTTTCTATAGCAACACAGATTATAAGTATTAACTTTTAAATGCTTAATTTAAAAGGGAGTAGTTTTCCTTATATATGAAAGCTGGGTTTTTGTATATTTCTAACATATTTCTCCACTGTTACCATTGCCTAAATTTCTATGCCGATATAAAAATGATCTTTTTTTCCTCCTAAAGTATGGCTGGTAAAGTAATGCTAATAATTATAATATTTATAAACCTTGAAAGTGTGATCAATTCTGTTTTGTAGGAAATTAACTGAACTTTCTACAAAAACAGTAACAATGCTTAAGCCTTTTTTTTACTAAATTGGAGGCTTAATCTGGGGATTTAGGAAATTTGAAAGGCAGGTAAAGCAACCTAGAATCTCCATGAATCTCGTTGTGGTTTCTAGAGTTTTGTTTTTCTTCATTAGAAGGCAAACTGTTAAATTGCATTATTTTGCTGCTGATCTTTGCTGCAAAATCAAGCATAATGACTTTTGACAGTCTTGACACACTAATTAAATGAAAAGCCATCTCAAATTCCCCCCCCCCCTTCCACAGCTAAAGGAAAAGGGGCAGAAAGTTATGTCCCTCTTGCATTACCATATTCCTTTGGGGGTGGGGGGAATTAAAAGGCTGCACTTTTGAGCTGGCCAAGAAAGAAGTTACTTAGGTAAGCCAGGAGATCCTATCCGCTTCCTCCTTTAGCTGTTTTGGAAATGTTACCTAAAAGGTAAGCTAGTTAATGCCGATCCCTAGCTTCCTTTTGAAACAAATACTGGTCTGAGGATTTTTAAACACTTTCTACGTGTCCTGTAAATCAGGGGTTGCTGAATTGGGGAGGCACTTGTGGACTGTTTAGGGGCAGTTTTTAGGGTGAGAATGAGAGCAGCTTGCTTCACAGAGGCGTCCCCATTCCCTTTCATCTCCTCAAAATATTGACTGGGGACCTTAATTCTTTGAACTTTGCCAATGCTTCTTCTGAATAATTATTGAATATATAGGTAGTTCTTGTTTAGCAATTGGATCTAGCAGCTCAGTCATTAAGTGAAGTGGTTGCTATGTGAAAACCATGTAACTGCTTGTGATTTGGGTTCAACTTTCCTTTCCCTCCTCCCTCACCTTTTGCAATACTCATCTCAGTGCTAGAATAATTAACTAGAGTGCAATTTGTATTTACATTCATTAAGAGAAAAGTAAGCAGGCGCATAATAGGCGATAGACATTAAAAGGAAAAGCAGGTCGGCTGTTGTGCTTGCAGCTGCTTAGGAGGCAAAGAAAAGCCCTCCATGTGAAACTATATTAGGATCTTGTCAGTTTCAGAGTGAGCTGGACTGTTCTAATCAAATTATAAAGATCACAGAGCTGTTACTTGTAGTTAGGACTTTGGAGGAAGTTCTATGCATGGACAAAAGCAGTTCAGGAAATATTGTAGCTTGTTTTAAGCAATCTGCAACGGGGCAAGGAAAGGAAAAAACAAATCAACCAAAGGATAAAGTAATATAGTGCTGACTGACTGTTGTGACAAACGCATGACTTGATAGAGATGCTGCAAAGGTCATAAATGTAGGCATTAGTTGCTATTACATTTCCAACACTGTCATAACTGCAAAAGGTCCCTGTTTGAGGCAGTCGCTGAATGAAGGCTACCTGTACTTAAGAAGGAATATCCTTAATTGAAAAACCAGATTCCAGTTGATTGTTACACTTTGATGCCACAATGTATGTAAGTTATCACTCACATCAGAAATGGGCTGCACTTACATTAACAACTGGTTCACTGGTTGTGAACTCACGCACGCACGCGCCTCTTTGGGGCTGAAACATGGCTTCAAACATGTAGCTAACCTACTCGGGCAGCTCCAGTGAGTACAGCAGGTGCAACGCAGAACTCATCTGAGCAGTGGGGGAACAAGCAGAAAGTTAGTTATATATGGAAAGGATAGTGCAGCGGTGAGTGAGCAAGCCCAGCCAGTGATCACAACTACCGGTTAGCCCGAAACAGTCTGACCAGGCATCAGCCCACCGATTCACATGCTCTAAATATTTAAGTATATTCATGCCTGAAGGAGTTGATTATGCTTAGGTTCGACTGACGCTCGTTTGTGCTTTGCTTTTTGGCACAAATATTTGTGAGCTCTTGAAAGCTATAGTGGAGAGAATTCAGTTAACCGGCCCACTAGAGTTCAATGCTATTGTCTTCCATATAGCATGCAGTGAGTCATTCTACCACGGAAACCTGCAATATTGCCCATCCATCTCACTACAGTGAAAAGTAGCCTAACTTGGTCAGATAACGATGGCCCTTCCAAACTTTTACATTAATGCATTATTAATGTATGATTCCCACTTTTATTGCATTATAAGCTGTGCATTTTTATTCCTGAAAGTTTATAAATTGTTCAGTTTTTTTTAAGGATTAATGTATAATTCAATCCTGGTACTTCAGCTATAATACTTGTCATGGATCTCCCAGTTATCCTGTATTTTATTCAGTATAATGTGGAAAACTACTAATTGTATTGTGGCTTCTAAATGAAATTGTATTGTATACTGTTTCTTCCTCTTGCTTGTGTATACAGATAATCGACTTAAAGCCAGTAGCTTAGTGACTCTTTGAAGTTATAACATTCTCCAAGGCTACTTACAACTCAGATTTTAAATTCTAATGGCCACTCCCATCACATGGTTGCATTTTGGATGCTTAGTAACCAGCCTACCTTTATGGTCATTTGCAGCATCCCAGTCACATGACCAATTATGCCTTTTTTTTTTTTAACCAGAAACCAGAGTGTACTTGGGGTTTCTAGCAAAAAATGTCCGTCGTGACTAATGAGTTTCACTTAAGGACCGTGGTGTTTGCTTAATGGTCATGGTGCAAAACAGGTTGTAAAATTGAGTATGGTCACATAGTGAACCATTTAACAACCGGTATGATTTACTACCATAATTCTGGGCTCAATTACAGTCGTAGGTTAAGAACTACCTGTATAATAAGAAATAGCAAACGGAAAGAAACATGTATACACATCATATGCCATAATTAATAGAAAGAGGAAATCTTTCTTTCTCTATATCTCTAAACTGTAGCAAGATATAACAACTCTCACTTTTAAAATTTCATGCCCTCTTACAGTTGGCTTGATTGTACCAAACACTAAAAGTGCTTTTAGTAGAAGAGGCAAGTCTAAAATTAGACATTGTTTGTAAGCAATTAAATGGTTTAGTAACAAACAAATAATGAAGCCCGCAGTTTTTAAAATCAAATACTGTAATTACAGCTTTACTAAGAACATATGATGTAATGTTTTCAAATTAATTATACTTGCTTTTGGGAACAAATCCTTATTTGGCGAGTGTGCGATTTTGTAAAAACATCTTGGTTTAATAGGTATTGTATACATGCATTGGTTGAAGCACAAGGAAGAAAATTAATGAAAATAAACATGCCTGTATAGGGCTGGTATATGTGCAAGTAAGTATATTAAAAATGTTCTGTTCTGAAGAACATTCCACAGAATTCCACAATGTTAGTTTTCCCCCAGACGAAACTGATCCAGATGTTCTAAGAAAGGGCTGTCAAACTCCCAGCCCATGGGCTGGATGCATCACACACTGACCACACCCACACCAGGTTTAGCGAAGGGGGGGAAAGTCCCGATACATTACATGACACCGTGAGTTTGACACCCCTGTTTCAAGGGAATCCAGCAGTATTACTGAAGTAAATCTACCAGCATGCCAAGTGGTTTGTGAAGCATTGGAAAGTCAGTTTGTAGAAAATTGCCCTAAGGACAATTCCTCCATGGTTTGGAGGAAAAAGTACATTCTGGAGTTTCCTGGAATGTTGTTTCTATAATAACATTTTGCACGTGCAAAACAATTGAATCTTTTCAGTACATACTTAGAATTAAGGAATGCTTTGTTTTTTATTATCTTTGCTTATTCTATTGAAACTAAGAACCTCAGCCCATCCACTTCATTCATAGGTGTGTTTGTGCACTTATACAACCACGTACACATGGATGTGAACACAGCTACACACAATGGATGCAAACACACACGTGCACACAAAGCCTGCTAAACCTTCTCAACAGCGAAATCCTCTGGTCCTACCTGTATTGTGTATGTTAAACATAGGGAACTGTCATTGCCATAGGCTGGATTTCAGTACAATAATTTCTAAGCCTGCAAGCTTTGTCTTGGATTATATTATAATATTTTCCTATTATTGGTAACGTGCCATAGATTCTATACAACTGGTTCCTTTTAACATTGTTGGAAAGTCATCCCTTTGATATGAATGAGTGAAGCGTGATGGAGCATACTCCTATGCCCTACATACTTTCTGCTTTTCACTGCTAGCTTCAAACTCACTGGTTTGAGAACAAGTACTGTAGGTAGATTTTTCATACGCTCCTATGTACAAATGTTTGAAACATTTCTGAACATTCTAAGAGTTGAGTATACATTGCTGTATTTAAACACAATATTAGGCGAAACCTGGCTCAAAAACAGTAACTCTGAGAGGGACCTGGAAGCCCTAGTGTACGATCACTTAAATATGAGCCAACAATGTGCAGCAGCAGCCAAAAAAGCTAATATAATCCTTGATTGTATAAACAGGCATAGAATTAAAATCATGTGAAATGTTAATACTATTTTGTAAAGCCTTAGTAAGGCCACACGTGGAATACTGCATCCAGTTTTGGTCACATTACAAAAAAGATGTTGAGACTTTGGAAAAAGTGCAAAGAAGAGCAACTAAGATGGTTAAACATGTATTTGGAGACAAAAACATGAATAATGGTTGCAGGATTTGGGTTTGATTAGTCTAGAGATAAGAAGGACTAGAGGGGACATGATAGTATTCCAGTCTTTGAGGGTCTGCCACAAAGAGGAGGGGGTCAACTTATTTTTCAAAGCACCAAAGGGCAAGACAAGAAACAATGGATGGAAACTAATTAAGGAGAGAAGCAACCTGTAATTAAGGAGAAACTTCATAACAGTAAGAACAATTAACCAGTAGAACAGCTTGCCATCAGAAGTTGTGAGTGCTTCATCGCTGGGGTCCCAAAGGTGCTTTTTCAAGAGGCAACTGGACTTTCTGTTTTTTCTTCGAAGATATCTCACTTCTCACCCAAGAAGCTTCTTCAGCTCTGACTGGGTGGTGGGTCACAGCTGAAGAAGCTTCTTGGATGAGAAGCAAAACATCTTTAAAGAAAAACCAGAAAGTCCAGTTGCCTCTTGAAAAAGCACCTTTGGGAAAACCATGACCTGGATGACTGAGAATCTCCATAGACATTCATCACTGGAGGTTTTTAAGAAGAGACTGGATAGTCACTTGTCTGAAATGGTATATGCTTGATCAGGGGGTTGGAATAGAAAACTTCCAAGGTCCCTTCCAGCTCTATTCTGATTGAAATAGCAATAGAGTTCTCAGTCAAGATAGGCAGACCAAGGTGGATACATAGTTTTAACATGGTTAATTTTATCTTAAGTTTTGGAACTTTTTTGTGTAAAAAAAACCATACCATGCTGATACACCCTTACAGCAACCACGGTGTTTTTGGAAATGATGGATATTATTGCAAATGTCAAAGCTACTCTCCCCATAAAAACTCAAAAGTGAAATACATGGAATGTTGTCTTTTTTTCCTTTTGGATCTTTCCGATTATGTGGATTATCATTCTTAAGAGGAAAATCAAACACATGAGAGATATAAGCACCATCTAATAAATACACTTTAATGATAGCATCTGGATTTCCCAATATGATCCTTTGCTAATGTTTATTTAAAGAGATGTTGCATGGAAACATGAATGGTCATTAACTTGAGTAAGATGACAAATGGCAGCCTTGTTTATTAAAGCAGAATCACAGCATTGTCTCCATCATCTTCTTCAGTTGATGAAGACCCCTGAAATATACAGTATTAACAATATAGAGATGGAGGGCAAAAAAGGAGTCAAGTGTTTTTCATCAAAATAAATTATCTACATACAGGATTTTTCTTAACATCTAAAAATGTAGAAATTCCAAACTCTGAGAAAACAAGAATTACCTTAAGAACTTCCATTATGTACAAATATTATAAAAACCTTACAGACTATCAACTTATGCAAAATTCCTTTTCAAAAATTAAAAGTTTCTTTACAAAACTGTGAGCAAAACTGCAGTTACTTTGTCTGTAGTTTTCTTTACAAGGAAGAAATTTTTTTTTAATCAATGATAAAATCTTAATAAACATTAAGTCTTCTAAATGAGCAGTGTTATTTCCCCAGAAAGAAGAAATGCTGGCTATTCCTAAAAAGTAAAAGTAATTGTAGTGCACTCTTTGGTAACAAAAAAACAAGTTACTGTTGAAACTTTCAAGTGATATGTTATTCAAAGCTCTTCTCCCTTTTGACAAACAAAAGCTAACAATACAGTTTAATAGAAAACGAAAACATTCTTCACAGTTCTATGGTGTAAGTTCTCCAATGTTGCATTTACTTTAAAATCGAAACATTAATAGCTGCTTATTATGTTTCCCCTGAATATATCTACATCCCCATTATAAGTCAGCAAATATTTTAGGTCTCCAAAAGGATACCTCAAACTGTATTGAGAGAAACCACAGAGAATAAATGGCTTCTGTAAGTCCAAGCAGATGGATTGTAATATGGCTGCACAGCAGTCACTTCTGTATCACAAGTGTCCCCCACTCCGATGTAATTTTTAGAATTTAAACTAAACCCTTGTTGTATTATTAGGACATGGTGAGCTCATAAGAGGAGATTAGATCTCATCAGAAGCAGCAGTGGGACAATGCCAGTCCTGCTAACTAATATTAGGCTGCACATTTCTTTCAAATAGTCCCTGCGGAAAGTTTACTAAGTTTTATAAATATAATACTTAAAAAGTTACTGCCACCTTTACCATAGAAGCTTCCCGTTTAATTTTTGCAGACTTATTTAGTTTTTTACACTCTCAAAAAAGGAAAAATAAAAAAAGCATGCTCAAACTAGAATCCAAGAACTGTCATTACTTCTTGTTATTAAGGCTTGAATGCAGAGGTCTGATGACTAGATTTTTTTTCAAACAAAAAAGTCAGTCCAATTGAGTTGAACAAAATATCAGCGTACTGCATCTTCTATACAGTATCCCATACACAAATTCACCCTAAATTATACTTGGACTCGATGCTTTACTGGTTACGTATGAAAGTCTAGCACCTTAAACCTCATTTAAACTTTTTTTTTTTAGTTTAAATGCTAATATTAAAAAAACCAAGGGCATTCTGTGTTACCCGTTAAGATAACAAGTCCTTGAGCATGTTGTCAACCTCAGTAGAGTCTCTATTTTCATTACTATCCGTATCATCACTCTCAAATACATCGGGTGGTTCCTCTTCTGAAAACCTGCGAGTTCTGTTTTCTGCAGATTCAACTACTTCTACATCACCCTCACTGATAACAGTCATAGGGCTACTCTGGATCCGGTTTCGAGCACTATACTTGCTACTTGCGGCAGAGGGCGGGGTTCGAGATCTGCTGTATCTTGTGCTGGAGACAGACAGACTCCTTGGCATGAGGCCTTCACTCTTGGCCCATTCCTCCTGAGGCCTTTTGGTCTTGGTCGGAGAAGCTGCTATGCTCTCACTCAGATCCCCTATGGAATCTACTTTACCTCTTTGAAATCTTGGGTCTGTATTCTTTAGCAATTCTGCTGCGGACATACGAGAACTGGTGTCAGAGCGGCTCCCTTTTTTAAGAAGCAGCGCTTTGAAGTTGTCATTGCTGGTGGCGCTCTTGCGAATATTTCTCTGAATTGACCCTGCCTGCCTCAGGGAAAGCAGGTTTGGGGAAGAACTGGTAGGTGTGACTGGAGGCGATGGAGAATGATTTGCCGCGTGATCTTCTTCAGAATCTTTGCGGCCAAGGACTTTCCTTTTGGATCTGTAATTGTGAGTTGGGAAAAACAGGAAAAAGTTACTAGCCTCTCTATATAAGGACTTATTTTGCATCCCAATACGAAAAAGATAATAAAGTAGTCCTCATTTAGTGACTGCCTCAGATAGTGACCACACTTACAACAGTAATGAAAAATTTTGACCAGTCCTAATATTTACAACCTTCACAAGAGTAAACTATTGTGCAAAAAAAGAGTAAGCTAAAGTAAATTCATAAGCATGGTTATGGTTTCACTTTATGACCACTTTACTTGATAATCAAATGTTGCTCCCAATTGTGATCACTAAATGAGGACTAGCTATGCTTGTTAAGAAGGAAATATATGAGTATAGTAACTACTGTTACTGAACTTATGGAAGTGTAGTTTTGGGGACAAAAGAAATTGTATGCCATATTTCAGACATAAAAGTACTTTCAGTTTCTGGGCACAAATCTAAACCAAACAATGTGTATGCAATTTAAAAGTTTCTTCCATTGTTGTTTATTTTGTAAAGCAAATATTTGAATCTTGCTAAACATTACTTTTAATGAACGCATATTTCCAATCTCTTCCAAATTGAGGACAGCTTACAAATGTGCACTAATATACATTTCCCAATGAAATTGCCAAGGGAATGGAATTAATGAAATCAAAATAAAATATATAAGCTCTGTGGGAACTATCAATCCAGCAAGCATTTCACTTGCCTATCAAACAGCAATTAGCAAATTGGACACAGTGTTTCACTATTTAGCAACAGCACTCAACTAACTACATTTATGGTCACATGGTGAAAAGGATATTCATTAAAACAACAACAAGGATATGCACGGAAGGGGAAAAAAAACCAGAATGTCTAGTTTAAAGGAGGGAACAAACATGTGATCATCTGAATTTGCATTCCAATACAAACTGTAACATTAAGCATGTCATGCATGTACAACAAAAATCTTTAAAGTATCTCAGAAACAATTATTTGGATAACTATGGCATAGTTTCTGGTCTCTGTTGCAGTAGACTTGGATTACTGTTTGCATTTAATTAAACACCGCAAATGGCAGCCCCACCAATATAATTCCATTCCTGGAAGCAGTACCCATCGCAGAAGAGGATGGTACCAATTCAAAATGGCTAAGCCTCTAGATAAAACAGGAGGGAGGGGAGAGCTGCAGCAGAATGGTGGTGAAGAAAGCTGTACTATGGTTTCTGGAAACATAATACTATAATTATAAGTTCTACCCAGCATATTTCTGGTCATACATTCTGTCCCTAAAACAAAACAAAACAGCTTGTATATTTTGTATATTTATACATCAGCAAGAAATGTTAAGAACAATGGAAAAAATGTTATTTCTCCATATTCAGTTTAACAGGGAAAATACTTTGTTAGTGGAAAATCAGAAAAGATTGGGAATGCAGATTGTATCACTGTTGTATCACTGTAGCAAATTGAGCAGTGATACATTCATATTACACATTGTGTTGTAATATGAAGATCAGCATTAATGCAAGCTGCTGTTCTCTATTTCCGTCTTACACAAATAATCTAAACAGCACCTATTGTTTTATATAACTGTGCAATACAGACCCCCTTAAAGAGCATTATCTAGAAAATTTAAAAAAAAACCATAAGAATACAAAACTATGACATTTACATTCATTTATAAAAATGTAGTTTCCCCCACCCCCCCAAGGCCTTTATCATTTATCATTCTTTATCATTCTTTCTTTCTTGCCTGAGAAGCCTCTTCTGACAAGCATGTAAAGTATGACTAACATAATGATAACATGTATAATATAACTGATTTTAATTGATATTATGGTATCAGTTAACATATGGCAACCTATGTAGTGTACAATATGTAATATGAAGGCATCTATACAGCAACACCTTGGAAGATGCAATGGTGATAGAAAAGCTCACCTACTCACGTTTAAATGATATTCTCTCACACATCGTTTTTTCCCTATTTATTTATTAATATTTTATCCCGCCTTTATTACTTTATAAGTAGCTCAAGGCAGCGAACCTATACATAATACTCCTTCTTTCTCCTAAATTCCTTAAAACGTCAACCCCTTTTGGGCTGAGAGAGAAGGCCTGACCCAAAGCCAGCCAGCTGGGTTTCACACCTAAGGCAGAATTAGAACTCAGAGTCTTCCACTTTCTAGCCTGGCACCTTAACTGCTAGTCTAAACTAGCTCCATTTCTGGTCTTGTTCTGATCATTTGAGGTTGAATGCTACATTGGTTATACCTGTCTGAAGAGCTATTTTATGTACCTAAAAATTTGTAATGTCAAAATGATTTTTTTATTTGTTTTTAGTCTGTTTTCTTCTTCTCTCTCTCTCTCCCTCCCTCCCTCCCTCCCCCCCACTCCTGAAATTATCCTCAATTTTCTCACTACATGTAAGAAAAATTCTCTTTTACAGAATTAAAATTGACAATTGTGTCAATTATTACAAATTTAACTCAAATAACTCATGAAATAGCATAGTCCCAGCAGCAAAACTGTTCTTGCTGTCATGCTTTAACATTGCAGGACCTTGCTGCTGTCACCAGATTAATGAAACCTGGGTGGTAGATCTGTGCTAGAACTTTACTCTCGTGGGCTCTGCAAGGGATGACTTAACATGTGTAAAAAGGTGGGCCTTGCATGATGACACTGCTGTCATCAAATGATCCATGACTACCCTTCCCCCTGTAGACACAGGAAGACACTGTTGATTGCAAAATATAAGTTGGACATGCTTTGAAGTTATCTTTAGCATGGTTCCTATCCTGTGAAAGTCAACACAACATTCTACCACACTAGGACATAACAAGAAAATCTTTGTGGCTTGAGTAACTAAACTGTTGCAGTTTCTGTGCATTATGAATAAAAGCAGGAACATGTTGATGTATGTTGTGCAGTCGATTTCAATTTTACTTTGAAACCAGCTTAATAAATGGCAATAAATGACCACTAGATGGAACCAATGCTTCATGCTAGATACTACAAACCAGTAATACAGTACTTTCTCTATTGAAGTTCTCCTGAAGCATTTTTAGAGGGTGTTGGTTTCTAAAAATTGATCACCAAACAGCCTTCTTGTAAAAAGAATGTTTATTCTGACTTCACCCAGCCTTCCTGAACCTGAAGCCCTGCAGATGAGTTGGACAAGAACTCCTTCAAAAGATATTCATAATTCAAATCATTTGTGGGGAGAGCTAAAGTAGCTGAAATGTGTATCTATAATCATTTCCCCTTTTTAAATTAAGGAAGAATTGGATCAGGGTAGGGTTTGTCGGTATTGCACGTTTCAGTTGATAAAGCAGCATGTCATCTTTAATTAAATTATGGCAATCTCTATTCTGGCTATTGTCGTATGTTTTCCCCTTATTTATGATGGTTATATTGTGTTTACTTGCCAGTTTAAGCCAAGCCTGCCATGAAACATTAGAGTTGAGCCTCTGTCCCAAACTGCACCAGGAGTACAAAAAAAAAAAAGAGATGGAAGGGCATGAAGAGAAAGAAAAAGATACACAGAAAAAGCAACAGTATATGTTAAATCATGTAGACTGAGACAAGAGCACAATCAAACAAGGAGTAACCAAGAAACCACGGCTTGATCATGTAATAAAACATAATTCTGTTGGTAGGAGAGTTACATTTTAAAACGAACAAAACATTATTGTAAAGCAATTAAAGGTATTACCCCTACATGCAAAGCATGTGGGACATGGACGCATTAATTAATGAGAACTGGAAAGCACAAACATTATGATAAGAGAAATGCACTAAAGAATCTAGAAAGGACACCCAAGGAAGTAACCTTATAAAAACAATTTAAGCAGTACCTGTGAATGGCTGCAAAAAGATCCTCAGTCGTCCTTGGTCGACTTGGCACTGCCATTATCTCACTGCCTTCCCCATAGCTTGGGCTCTGTAGCAAAAAGCTGGCTGCTGCATCAGCTTCAATTGCTTCAGCTAAAATACGAGGATGGGGGGGGGAAAAAGCCAAGCAAAAATGTAATCTAAAGCAACAGTTGACAAAGTGACAAATGAACAAATACAGTCTGTACATTTCTCACAAACTATGCAACAATCGGACCTATTTTTTTTTAATAATGTTCTCAGTAACTGGTGTCCATGAAAGCCTTTTACTGGTTTGTGAAGAAAATTAAAGCCCAGTGAAAGTTTTTGGAACTTTCCCCCAATAAAGAAATCAGCATCAGTTTAATTTAGAAACCTATATTTTTGCCCCACCAATTTTTTTAGAATAGGGATAAAGCTAATAAAATCCTATCTAACAAGTTTTTTTAAAAAAAGAAAAGAATTAAGATAATAATTTTATTACCAATTGTAATCTGAGCTTTCTGGTTTTCCTTAAGACTAGTATGAAATTATATTGATGACATATAACCTTTACCATATACAATGTAAAAATCTTTACTGTTCTTATGATGTGACTCTCCATAATTCCAGATGTGACTGTTGACTAATAGACTAGGTCAAAAGACAAAACACAGTGGAAAAAAAAAAAAACTTACAACTTTCATCCCCTTGAGAAAACTGTTTCTCTGCTCCAGAGATGCTGTCTACATTTCTGTCTGGACTGCTTTGTTCACACGAGGAAGCCGTCTCCTCCTCCTGGGTCTGCAGAATAGAGAACCTGGTTTCACAGGAGATAGGACTCGCAGCTCCTCCTTCTGAGACAAGGTTGTTAGGCTCCATTTCATAGGAACCGAATCCATCTGTAGGATAATTGTTAACCTGGCTGTGCTGTGCAATTTCAGCATCCTTCGCAGTTGTACTTGGAATGCTTTTGGCTGTTTCACCCGCAGCTATTTTCTCTGTTGTAACATCAGGCTGTGGGGGTGGCACAATCAGGAACAGTTTGGGTTTCTTTGAAACAGGCGGTGGCTTCTTGTTTGGCAATATATCCTGAGGCTTGCTGAGAAATCCAGATTGTTCCTGAAGGGATGTACATACAAGACTATTACGAGACTCTTGGTTCTGCACCAAAGTTTCGTCAGCTTTGTCTGGTTGCGACTCTCTGGCAAATGAGTTATTTATGCTTATTACATTTCTGGGCATTTTAGCACTGATAGGTTCAGACCTTCTGCCAGTTAGGCTACAAACAGAAGCTCTCTGGCCTTCACTCCCAACGGCATCCAGCATGTCACTGTATCCTCCTGACAAATGTGATTTGAAAGGCAACCCAGCAGAAAAAGGATCCTGTTTTTTTCCCTGAGGACTTGCCTTGGAAGCAGACTCGGCTGGCTGCTCAACCTCTGACTTCATAGCTTTCTTCACCGACCTCAGTTGTACCATCTGGAGAGCTTCAGTAGTTATGAGTGGCATTGCAGGCCTTGGGACATCATCCTTATTTAAGGGCTGTTTTGCATTGTTGCAAGCACCTTCCAAATTATGTTTCTTGAAAGAGTATGGTACAGGTTTATGTCCATCTTTCATGAATCTGGGATCTAAGGGTGGGGCTGGTGGAGGAGCTGAAGTTTGAAAAGTGGGTGGGAGGCGATGAGAAGAATCGGGAAGTAAAGAGTGAGAAGAATGAATTGAAGTATCTTGATTATTAAGCCATCCATTATTCTGAGGAAAAGAAGTGTTTGTGACAACATCTGGGGGAGGAGGTGGAAAACTTGGTGATTCAGGTGATTGAGGAAGATCAGTAACATCTGTTAGGGGAGGTGGTGGGAGAGGAAGAAGAGGGTCATTGGAATCTGAAGATAGTAGTGAAGATGATGTAACCGGAGGGAAGCTCAGGGTAGGATCAGGTTTCTTCATAGTTCCTTCAGCAGATGTATTTGATGACAGAGAGGTGGAAGAGGAAGACACTGAAACGGAAGACAATAGGCTTGATTTTCTTTCAGGCACTCTAGGCTTCATCTTGGACTTCGCGTTTCCCGTTGACATAGACTTTAGAATGACAGGCACTGGTGTAAGTGCTGTGGGTGTGTTGGATTGGCTAGAATATCCACTAGATGGTGATGTAACTCTCTGTGATTTTTCTGGAGAAATAGCTTTTGTTTTGGCTACTCCAGAGGGCACTTGTGGTATAGAAGCCCTTGACCCATCATTAAGGTGACTAACGTTATAATCAATTAGCTTCGGTACAGCATTAGAGGAATGAATTGCTGTGGATTTTAAATGGTCATCCGGGATCCCAGGATAATCACTGTAGTAACACCACTGGTCAGTGTATTCTGATTTGAGGCTACTTGTGTCACTCTGGGCTGGTGTGACTGCACAGATGGAATACATGTTGAGTCCTGTGGCAGACATCATGCTGCTACTGGCACTCACAGTGCTCTGGCTACGAGACCGCAGCACCCAAGGATCGTCATAATCACTGCAGGGACTCTGTGACAGCGAGCCACCATTTTTGCACTGGAGGTTCAGTTGCAAGGAATGTTGAAGGCTCGCTATCAGCTTATCATCCAGGACTTGTCCGCTGGACTGAGGTTTATTCTTGGGGGCTCTTCTAAGAGAATCTGTTCTGGATGGTGGGAGAGGTGGTTTTTTTGCCTTTTTAAAGGAGATGCTACGTGTGAGTGACTTGTCATTGGAACTTGCAAAATCTTCCAGAGATTTCTTCTCGGTTCCAGCAAACACATTAATGACACTATGCCTGGGATTTCCAAAGCCATTTTCACTGCAACTTTTAACAGACTGGACATCTGAATCCACATGCATAGAAGGGTAACAGACATCACTGTCCACAGAATATAAAGAGTGTGAGTCTTCTTTGGCTAAGACTCTTTCAAGGGTGTCAGAGCCGGAGCAATCTGGAATGTCGCATTTTGACATGTGTAAGGTGGTGGTGTCATTTCCATAATGGTTGAATCCACAGTGCTTTGCATTTTGCTTGACTTTGTCCTGTATGCTGTCCACAGTGTAACTTGATTCACTTCTACCATTGATGTCATGAGAATGGCTTGGCAAATGGTGATTGTTCCTAAAATTATAGGCCACACTTTGGGGGATACTTTCTGTAGTGCCTGTATTACAAAAGGATGCATACACCATTACACCGTTGGATGAGATAGTGGTGTCTGAGGAATGTGAGTGACGTGTTGAGCTGGTGTCACTCCAGGTGCCATTAGAAGAGCGATGTCGCTCTTTTGCATTTATTGTCCCATTGCCAACAAGATTGTCTCCAGGTTTTTGGTACAAAGAAGAGTTCGTCATTTTCCTATCTATTGTCTCAGGACTCTCTGCCGGGTTGTTATTTATAACATCTGAAGTGGATGATAGGGAAGCATTTGGTGTGATGATGGTAGAATATGCAACATGTGGAGAGATCATACATGCTGTGCCTTCTGTTTTTCCATTTTCAGAGTTTAATTCTTGAGATTTTGGCCTCTGTAACCCATTTATCCTACAGCCATTTCTCATATCATCTATTCTTTCATTTCCTTGCCACACACCTACATGATGTAACAAAGGTCCACTTTCGGTTGACTTGGAGAGGCTATGCCTACGTTCAAGTAACTGCAGGGACACTCTTGCTCCAGACCGAGGTAGACTGTGAAAGCCCAGGTCATTATTTAGGCGAGAAGTAGACATGACTCCAGCAGAATCACTCATCACAGACATGTTTCCAGAAGAACTGGAAAGCTGTGACATCTGGGCTGCAATTCCTTGGCCTTTCTGTGCACGTATTCGCCTAACTGAAGGTGGCACCACTTTAACTTCTTCTGTCTGACAGCTGGAGTCTTTGGTGCCACACTGATGCATAGAAGACTGACAGCTCTCAAATTTTCCTAGTGTAGAATAATGATCAGGGACACATAACGAATGGCCCCGGATGTCATATTTGCCATTGCCAACTGTAGATATTAAAACAAAACTGTTAGAAAAATAAATATACAGCATTGTTATAGTTGCATTTAAAATATGTTCATTAATAAAAAGTTTACACGGAACTCACATTTAGTTTTTACCATACAAGTTCCAATGTGTTCAGGTATTCCTAATGAAAGATTCTTGGCATTTTTATATTTGCGCTATATATTATATATGTGATATGTTAGATTTTTGAAAAAGATTAAAATAGATGAAAATGCATAAAGACAACAGCAAGCTAATGGTTCCTTGTGTGCTTCAGTTCAGATATATTTTAAATCATATCAGCTGGCACTATTATTGAATCCAGCCCACAGCCACATTGGAGGTATTGGGGGGGTCCTGGATGAGGGACAACAAGCTTTGACTGAACCCTGGGAAGACTGAGTGGATGCATGGAGCTTCAAGATCTGGGACTTTAACTACCTTTAAAGACCTGAATGGCATACCAGGTTACTGGAGGAATCTTCTCACCTCAATGGAACTGGCCAACCCTGGCAGAGGGGGCATGTTACGGACCCATCAGTCAAGGAATTTTGGCTGGCAGGATGCAGGTGAAGGCCTTTCTCTATCATGGCTCCTAGAACACCTTAACCCTTAAGGTGAAATTGGCTTCCACCTTTTGACCTTCTGTAAGGGCCTGACGCCTCTGCCAGATGACTTGGAGCTAAAGTGGGGAATTTTGGAGGGGGGTGGATAAATTAAGAGTCAATCCCACCTCCACCCATAATGCATCCTGCTTTCTATCTCCCCATCTTTTTAGCTATAATTTTATCTTTGACTGTAATAACATTTTTTTTATCATTTTAGACATTTCTATCTTGTATGGTTTTAATGCTCTTAATGCTGTGAGTGGCCCAGAGTTGCTTTGAAATAAGACACGTGGCAAATAAATATAATAATAAAAAAATATTCCACTCATTCCTGAAACTGTTTTCATATACTGATTCCAAATTGGAACATTTTTTAACATTTCTATAGATTTTTCCACAGTAAAAGCTGTCTGATGATAGGAATGTAATATGAAAAACTTGCATAACATACGATGATCAGCAAAAATAATAGTAACTCACCATTGCTATAATTTAGGAGATAAGATGTTATCTTCCAAATAATGAGCACAGATCTGATGGAAACCTAATCCCAAAGTATGTGGAGGACATTGGTTGTATATCTCTTTCTGCTGAACATCATATAACTAACATGCGGAATTTATTGTCAGAAAGCATGTAATGGCTACTAGACTATAATGTCTTTAGAAGTAGGTTAGATAAAGTTCTATGGAAGAGGTCAATCAAAGGCTGTTAGCAATAAACTGTATTCTACTCAAGCATATACAAATGCCAGTTGTAAAGGCAGGGAAGGTAAAAAGGGGGTATATTTTCCAGCCTGTGATCATCTCAGAGCAGGGGTGTCAAACTCGCGACAACATGTTGTTGTCACGTGACATACGCAACTTTATCCCCCTTCACTAAACTGGGGGTGGGGGGTGTCCAGTGCGTGACACATCCGGCCCGTGGGCCATGAGTTTGACATCCCTGTCTCAGAGGCATCTGATTGGCCAGTCTAAGGAATAGAATCCTGAATTAAAATGTGCTTTGATTTAATCCAGCATTTCTGAAGTGAATAATTACAATAATTGTTTAATTGGGTCATTAGTGTATGGATTTAGATTTTTTTTTCCTGGCAACATCTGAGGATTGAATCACATTCTCACTTTTATATTCATAAATTGTCCTCTTGTCCTCTTGATGAAATTACATTCACTGTAATTTGCTCTTAATCACTCTCTAGGCAATGCATGCATAGTTTTTTTTCTTATATGTCATACAAGTATGGATTCCAGATGATTACGTATAAGATACCTGTATTACATTTGTGCTTTTATTTTCTCTTTCTTTCACTTTAACATTCATTTTCCCAAATAAGGTCCATTTCATTGGGAGTTTCTTATATTCATTCTTGAAATTTGAAAATAACTTCCTGGTTCTAATAATTTTACCCTCCTCCAGAGATCCCTTTCAATTGGCAATACAAATAGGATGAAGACATGTACACACATGGAAAACAGAATTATATGACCTTGTGCAGTTTTTAAAAATTGCTTTCATTGTGGTAAGTCTTGGAAGTTCTGGATGGATCATGGGCTGTGTAGCCTGGAAAAGGCAATACAAGCTATTTTTTCTCCAATGCTATATGCAAGGCATATTCTAAATGGGTTAGAAGTAGGTGATCATCAGAAAATTGAACAGTTGCTAGCACAGAGAAAGTAAACGGAAGAGGAAGAGAATAATAATAAGGTAGTGTTTCACATTCAGAATTCTACATGAGGATCACAGGCTCTCATTTATAAAATCACTGTGTCTAACTATGCATGAAAAGAGGATTGGATTCTGTGAACTTCAGTTCCTCCTATCTCTGTTGAAATGAGAAGCACTTTAAAAATGAAATATGATGCTGCATGAGGACCTGTCTCAAGAGAGAGATAAAGAGAACTAAAATTCCAATTGTGCACAATTTGGACGTAGCTGTAGATGTTATTCAAAGCATCACAAAATCTTTATCATCTACAAAGATTTTAAGTTAATTTTTTATGCGAGAACTCTGTTTATCACCAACTTTGCTGTTGGCATCATTCAAATGACGTTACAGGTTGTCCTCATCTTATGACCATTCCTTTTAACGATCATTGGGAACCACAATGGCCTCAAAAAGAATGCTTTATGGACTGTAAGGCATTTTCAGCCATTGCAAACATTTGCACTGTGGCCATGGGCATTAGGTAATGTTTTTAATATTTTAATCTGTTTAATTTGTGGTTTTAATATGATCTGATATGCTGTTTTAACATTTGATTGGGAGTCACTCAGAGTCGGTTAGAAGATGGGCAGCTATATGTAATAAATAAACAGAATGTTGATTTTGGGAAGTTATAAATGAGCTAAGGGTACAGATGAATTTGAAATATGTTTTTGAAATTAATTATAAGAGCCTTTCCATGAAAAAAATGCTGTTCTTTTGAACTCTTTTAAAAAGCACAATAGGATGGGACTTTGGAGGTGGATCACTAAAGGGAATCAAACAAAGCCAACAATTACAATTAAAGAAGATTTAAATATGATGTAATAATACAGAATGAGGCAAAATATTTAATGTTGCATGTATTGAAGGATATTTGTGAAAAATGGCCATAGAAAATTACTTTAAGCATATCTGCATTATGCAGGTAGTTTTTAACCTAATGATCATAATAGAGTCCAGAATTTCAATCTTAAGTCATTGCAGAGATTAAGTGAGACACCAATATGATCATTTTGCTTGACAACTGCAATCTCAGCTCTTCCAGTTGCAGTCATTAAGTAACCACATGGGTCATTAAGCCAACAGAGCCAAAGGAGGGCAGGCAGCTCCTTCCATTCTTTGCACAGAAGAGAACTCCTTTCCTGGACAGGCTGAATGAGCTTGGATCTTTTCTAAGTAACCTGGATAACTTTGTTATACTGAAATTTGCAAAGAGAATTGTTAAACTATTGAAAGATTCTGTGAGAAGTGATAAAGAAAGAAAATAAAGGAAATGAAGTGCTAGGTCTAGGACATTGTTTGAAGGAATCAAAGATCAAAATTGTTAAAAGAGAAAAGAATATAAAGTTGGTTTACATGATTAAGATTAAAATAGATATGTCATTATCTCTGCTAACCCATAAGAGACTTTTGCTGACCAGCACTGAACAACTAAGTTTCAAGACAAGATAAGATATATGAGATATATCTTATCTACATATATCATATAAATAAGATATGAGAAGAAGAGACAATTTGTTGCATTTTAACAGGTGACAAGTCACTAAAATTATTTGTACTTGTTCTCATGGAGGGAGAAGTCATTTCTTTATGTATTTCTTTTCTTTACTATATTCTTATTTTTTCTTTCTTTTCTATTTCTTTTCTTTTTAGTTTGTATTAGGTTTTATTTTTTTAGCTTTAATGTTTAATAAAATTACTATTAAAAATCTTATAAAGCGTAAGTATTATTGAGAAAGGTGACTATATAAATGGATTAAATAAACACATAGTCAAATATATTTGAATCTGTATCATATTTTTAAAGACTTATTACAGGTAGTCCTCAACTTACAACTACAACTGAGCCAAATATTTCTGTTTCCAAATGAGACAGTTGTTAAATGAATTTTGCCCCTTTTTACAAACTTTTTTTTTTGCCACAATTGTTAGGTGAATCACCGCAGTTGTTAAATTAGTAACACAGTTGCTAAGTGAATTCTGCTTCCCCATTGACTTTACGTCAGAAAGGTGTAGAAGGTGATCACATAACATTGCAACATGTACCAGTTGTCAAGCATCTGAATTTTGATCACATGACCAGTTGTTAAGTATGGAAAACAATCATCAGTCACTTTTTTCAGTGCTGTTGTTAATTTTGAACAGTCACTAAATGAACTGTTGTAAGTTGAGGATTACCTGTATTTCACTTTTTAAAAGGGAGATATAGTTAGTAGAATAACTCACCCTTGTGAGATGTTAGAACTTGGAGAAATGTTTAGGCAGCAATAAAACTGACAAAGTTATATTAATGTTCTTAATACTTACTCAATAAAAACTATAATTTTCACATTAAAGCTTTCTTCCACAGATGGCCTTTCCATGTACCATATAAAATAAACGTATGTATTCATTCAATAGATAATCTGAAAAGGGAAACTTTTTGGAGCAAAACTATCATATGTGAAATGGCCTTGAAAATTAGCAAATGGTTATTATCGAATACCTCTAGTCCACTAGTGACATTATCTACATGTGTGCTATTTGCATTTCCTCGTAGCAAATCCCAGCCATTTCCAGCATGGAACGGAAATTTTAATTTCTTGGTAGGAGACCAAATAATAATACAAAGAACACACTCACTATTCTTTCTTGGTGACCAGCCATACATTCATTTGGAACTTTTAAGAGGCTATCAGACTGTATTGGTTTCATAAGCGCAATTAAATGTTAAGAGTTTAGTTACGATAAGCAATTAATTGGAATGGAATACAGTTCTGATGAGCCATACCTAGCTCTCTTTGGATGTTGTCAGGGACTCCTGTAATAGTCTTTCTCCTTTTCATTTTCTTCGGCCGCCTTACCACACTGTCTGTGTAAATCAAAGACCTCCGTATGCTGGCTTGGCGGTCAAAATTCTCCCCTGATGTACAGTAGAACAAGCAAAGCACCATTATTTTCAAGCACACTGACATCATGCACTTTCTTCCACTTGCTTATACTGGTAGTAGAAATGAAGAAAAGGCATTAATATATGATGTTAGCACTGTCATACAAAGCAGGAACAGATACAGCACTCTGCAACTATAAGGCTTAAAATGTACAAAAAAAATTAAATGCCTATATGGATAATTTCTTAATAATTTGATCTCCTATGATTTTGGATGATCCGGGATTAGCAAGAAGAATGCCTGGGTTATCAGGTGTCAGCATTAGAAGAAGTTGCTGACCCTTCTACTAATTATGTTTAGTAGAATGTGTTAAAACTTTTTGGATTCACAAAACACTGTAAGTCATAAATATAGACATGTAAACATACCTATATTTGTTTACACAGCAGCCAAATTAAGACCTAATCAGCACAACCAAAAATAGATTTTCAAGTGGAAATGGTTTTGGAAAACAGTTGACATACATATACATACAGTTACATATAACATCAAAATATACAGAATTATGACTGTATGTTACCAAAAATGATTTATTTATAACCGTATGATTCTGTAAGTCTTGAGAAAAAAAATACATAGGTGTGGAATTAGGAATATTTTTGACTAAATCGGCTATCTCTGATCAAAAATATAATATACTCCATTTCATTCTGATCATTCACAAAAAGCATACTAATTCAGAGCATTACTGGATAAACAAACTATAATTATAATGAACTGCTTTTCTACTTGAAATCTCAACTATGTTTAATCTATCACCAGTGGATGCTACATTTGCTGAACCCCTTGAATCAAAATGAGGTTTAAGTAAGTTGATTCATGATGCATGTAACAAAAATAAGCCTTATAATTGAGTATGTGCTCCATCATAATGGACCCAACAGCAGTTCTCCAGGTCAGATAGCTGTAGACATTTCCATTTTTTTTCCAGTGAGTTAATAAATTGACTACTTGTCATTACCCCTATTTATATTCTGCTCTTGTTTTTATTCTTGCAGATAGATTACAAATCAAATATACGTCACATTTTGGTTTTTGTTTGTATTCACAAAATATTCTATTTAAAAATTTCAGAAAACTAGATTAAGTTCTTTCATCTTGTCTTCACTGTAGCGAAGAAAAAAAATATACACAGATATTTGAATAGTTCTATACTTTACATTTCTGACTAGCCAAGTTATTTCTCACTGAAAAGTAACTTTAGCATATGCTAGAATGTGCTGTTTATGGATCCTCCCTAGATCAGGTCAATTCATCAGATCAGTTTTAAGGAAACATGGGATATGCAAATAATTTTAAAGAGATGTTTTAACTCTACACATGAATATTTTCTGGATTATAGCAACACACTAAAGGTAACTGTTTCATCTTCAGTTGCATGGACAAAATTTTTGGGTTTTGAGAAGATGATGTTGTATGTGAGCCTAGACATTCTGTTCTTGTTAGATGAAACGAATCTAATGTTTGGAGTAAAGGAGCATTTGCAAATTGAACAGATTATGAGTTTCAGACCATCAACTCTGCTTCTGTTCACCATACCAGGGAGCCTCTTTCATTACTGCTTTTCTTTGAACAGCAGTACTCTATTCCATATTGTAAAAACTACAAAAAAATAAATTCCTCAGAGGTGCCATTGTTGCTAGTGATTGCTCTTGGAAGAAGTGCCAAAAGCCTCTCTTTTCTATAAAAGTACTACAGTTGTCTACATCTCATCCCAATTTATATCAGTATCAGACTTTGCAAATGAGGGAAAGAATTAGATAATAACTAGGTATAACCACACCTTATAAGGCTCATTTTACTATTCCTTTTTTCACTATTCTCATCCAGTCCTCAGTTTCCTATCACCAATTAAAATGGCGTTATAAGTGGCCATTTTATAAAATGTTCATGCAGATTAGTAAGGTACTGCTTGTGTTTGTTTAGCACACTCTCTAAATTAAACCTCTTAAGAAAATTGTGTGTTAACTTAAATTTGTACTCCACAATTTTTTCATATGAATTTCTGAGCCACTTTTTTTTGCTATAATTTACATTTATACAGAGCTGTTTAAATTTCACTTGCAAATTGAGGAACAACCTAATGAAGCTAGTTATGTGTAAGCAAATGAAGACTTTTAACTTTTACTTGATACAACGATCACCAAGTAATATCCACTACTCCCTTTCCAAATATTTGGGTAAAACCATATCCAGAGACACATAACAGCATTAAGAAAAGAAAAAGTTGCTGGTCTCTAGAAAAGTGTACTACATCTTGTATATCCCGTATTGTATATCATGTTCAAAGCAAGTTAAATTCCTGCTAATTCATGAGATTTAAATCCACTTCCAAAGCTGATAACAACTCAGCAGCTTGTCCTGTTAACTTAAGTCTTCAGTACATTCATATCAAGTTTTAGTACTAAAATTTATCTTACTAGAAGAGCACTGACAGACGAAAGTAAAGGTGGGAAGGCGTTATGTTCTTACAGACAAGTGAAATATCATGTCCATTATTAATTTTTATTTTACAGGCTTTTAATTTTTAAATAGTTCAGCAATGTGGCTGGCTTAGACTGACATAAATATATTTCTAAAGAAGAAGAAACAATGGGCTCTTATGACCTAGTCGTCTTGTCTCAAACAGACCAGAGACATATATTTCATGATACATTTATTTCCTTACCTGAAAAAAAAAATTATCAAGAAAGATAATATTTGCGAGGACAAATTTATAGTGCAAACTTTGTGTACTTGCTCAAATAAAAATAGCCATGAAGCATGAAAAATTAATGCTTTAGCAGAGTTGAAGTCTTTTGTTTTAGAATCACATTACTCTTTGACCCATTTCTTAAAAATCCCTGTATCTACCTTTTGTGGGTCAAATAGGATTAAACAGCTGGCATCTTCCCTGTTAAACATTTTTGACTTACATGTATTTTTTTAATCTTGTCTGTACCCATGACTGTGGGAGGAGGATACTTCTGCTAATATAACAGGACTGTCCCCAATTCTTTTGTCCTCTTGATATCACGTGTTCCTCAAATCTGGACGGATCTCTACATCCACCAGATTTGGAAGGCATGCAGAGACTCCACAACTGAGGAGAAACCAATTTAGTGGAGGGCATGACTTTATCAACAAAGAAACTCCAACTGAATTCTACCATACATTTTTAAGAAGGCAGAAAATAAGGGGTGAAAACCCCCATTTATTAGTTTGCATTAACTATTTAACCTTCACAAACATTTTTTTGTTCTTCTAGGGTACATGGCTTTCTGTTTTATCTTTTTTTTTCACTTTTTTTACTGAACTCTGATCACTGAATTATATTAAAATTCTCTAAGAAGGTAAGACTAATAATATAGTTAAGCAAATATTAGTCACCAAATGGAAAAAGAAAGCACCTGTTAATTTATTAATGAAAAAAATCAGTTGGTTTAACTGATCTTGTAGATTAGCATGTGATTGCAGTTCAAAAATAGTGCCTTGAGTGTGACACTCCTTTTTAAGCAGGAAAGAACAAAACCCAGATGGAATAAGAATGATGAATCCCTTGTAAAGGACCAAGAATTCAGTTTTCAATCTTTCAATCATGCTTCTCTTCTTGTGCCTCTGAGAAGGAACCTCCATGTTTTCTAAGGAACAGAAACAGCCCTATATAGCTATAGGCAAGGGTCTTCAAACTTGGCAAGTTTAAGACTTGTGGAATTTCTGAGCTAACACGACTGGAGGAGGAATTCTGGGAGTTGAAGTCCACAAGTCTTAAAGCTGTCAAGTTTGAAGCTATATAGAAAACCAGAAATAATGATATATATTTTTTGCATCAACTTCCTAAATTATGACCTAACCTATCATCATATCCAGCAAAAAGCCTAATTCAGCTATGCCTGCAATCTCCTATAGTTTTTTTTTCAGATTCTTGATTACCAGATTTTAGGATTTTCGCAGGTCAACTTTTTTCTTCTACCTGCTTTTACCTCTTGCTTAATAATCGTGGAAAAAATGAAAGCTTGCTAATTATTTTTGCTTTGTCTTCCTCAGAGAACAATCTTACTTTTGATTTAAATTATTTTATTATGGGCCAGCAGTCTCAGTCAATTTTATTTTAGGTTATTAAGCCTTACTCATCCTTTTATGTTATTATTATATTATTCCATAATGAAGCCTTAATCCTTTTATGTTATTATTTTTATAATATTCATAATGACATATATGCTATTTGATGGTGAATGAAATGAGCTAGATATTTTAAAAATAAACTTTTTAAAAAATTAGCAGAAACTTTATTATGAAACAAGTCATTAAAGAACAAAGATTACACTACAGAAAGTTCAGAAGTATAACATTTCAGCATTTTTCAGAATATTTAATCATTCAGCATGAGTTTTGAAGAGGAGAGAGTTCTGATATTGTAAATTTTAAAGGCCCTGATGCTTATCATCTGTTATCATTATTTAACAAAATTAGTACTTTCTATAAAGGTAAAATTTTGCTCTAAATATCATAAAGAGATGCCATCAATCCATAAAATTAAAAGCTTACCTGTTACATTAATAGGGATAACATCAGTTGGGACTGCTTGAGCCTGTTGTCGCATCTTTTCCTCTGGAGTTGGCAGTGGAAGAGATTTGGTCCAATTTGTCTGAGTGTTGATGTCAGATAATTCATCAGGAGTTGGTGTTTTGGGTCTTTTGACAGGAATAAGCTTTTCCTCTTCAGGAGAAGGAGTCGAACACTATAAAAAACGGTATATCATTAATTGAAGGGATTTTATAAAATTTGCTTTAAAAATGAGCAAAAGATAAATTACACATTTTTCCAGCTATACATTACCTTATTTTAAATAAAGCATTTCTCCTGTGAACAACATATTGTGACAGAATTTGAAAAAACACTTTCGATATCTGACTTAATTTCTTATGACAGTTTTGCGGAAAATTTTTAATAGCCAAAGCAAGAGTAATCCATGGTTCAATTCCTTACTAAGCATTTAGTAAAAAAGTAATTGAATATTTAATGATTCATTCCATTAGTATATTAAAGAGTATTCTATATTTGCACTTAAAGACAGACAACAGCAAGTCTATTAATTTATAAGCGACAAGTTAGTTTTTCTGCAATATTTGTACTTTCTGGAACGTATTCAAAAGCAAACTCATTTTTTAAAAATTTGATTAGTTTTAACTTTAGCAACAGTGATATATTAATTCTTTTAGAAAAGCTATTGTTTTGGATTTCATCATGGAATTGGATACTCCATTTTTTTCTCACAACAAAGTATCTTGAGAGATAGGAAGTTGCAGAGTGTCCCAGATTATACTGAAACTACTATGCAACCTTTATACTCCCAACAGTTAATAAATTCTTAAGATTTGATAAATGTCCATTGTAACATTAATTTGACTAAATGACGGCATTTGTTATATAAGAAAACTGAGAATAGATCAAAGTCTGTCTCAAAATTATGTTAACAGGGATACATTTATAGGAATTTTTATAATAAATGCAATGGACAAACTACATATCAAGGAATGCAGTTTGGGTTAAAACGCTGCCAAAAGTTGAGAATGATTTCAGTGAGAACATAAATACTTAATATCCTCTTAGAGTCTTGCCTATTTATGAACATTTCATCACAAATCAACTGTGATGCTCAAACAAGTCATTAAACTAACATATGTATGGCACTGGCAGTTTCCATAAGTTCCCAATAAGATTTCTGACCATCATGGTATCCCGCGGTCACATGATCTGCAACCTTCCCTGCCAGCTTCCCACAAGCAAAGTCAATGGGAAAGCCAATAGAAAGTCAAAAATTTTGATCCCATGATAACCTCTGTTAATGATGGCAACTGGGGATTGCCAGGATTGAAGTCTCTAAACAACGCAGTGACATGATATCGTGCTTTATGTTCACATCTTTTAGTGATAAAAATTCTGGTCCCAGTTATTGTAATTAAGCAAAGACCGCTTGTACATTAAATGCTGTGACAATTTCTTTAATTTCTTAGAAGTGTGTTTCTCTAAAATATGACAGATGCCTTGGTGGGGAAAAAAGTACACATTGTGAAGTTGCACCAAAGCAAAGCAATCTTAGTCATAGAAACATCTTAACAATAAATCATAAATTACTATTGACTTCCAGGATAGCCTTATAATCAACTGGTTTTATTTTAAATTTTCCCAGGCCAGAACTGGTTTTGAAATTATATAACTGGCAGAAAAGAATATATAATACATAATAAGAAATCTTTCCTTTTTGAGTGCAAGATAGTAGAATGGATTTTTATTTATTATGCAATAATAGCCAAAGGGGATGTTTCTTCTCTCTTAGGTTCACTGAGAATGTAATAATACTTCAAGTATGATGATGCTGTGTGGTAAGCCATAACATTTCAACATAATCATAAAAATACCGATTAACAATGCCAAAATTAGTAACTGTCATAAGATGATGACCCTGGATTGATTTTTTTCAAATATGAAAAGAAATAAAATTGCATATATTAAATAGTAAACTATATTTTTGTTGGGAAAGGGCTATACCACTTTAAATAAATACCGTTTAATACAACAAGATTGCTGACAAAGAGAGAAATCTATGATGGATCCACAGAACAAAATACCAAGGTATTAACCAGCAGAAAGAAAATGAATTTCTCATTTGGTTATTGCTGTTGAACAGTTAAACAGGAATTGATATCTTCTAATAAAAAACATTTTAAAACTTTCTCAATATTTTAGTGCAGTAAAGTATTTTGATTCAAGCACTATTTTTAGTGCACCAAATCCCACTTGGGGTCCTCGCATTACCTAATAGGAAAAGTATTTTTCTAGGTCGGGGATCTCCATACTTGGCAACTTTGAGACTGTGGACAGCATGGCTGTCTGAGGAATTCTGTAAGTTGAAGTCCACAAGTCTTAAAGTTGCCAAGTTTGGAGACCTCTGTTCTAGGTCATTCCAATCTGAATGTTGCTGAGAAAGTTTCAGTGTTATCGCAACTGATAAAGAAATGTAAACATGGATGGCTTTCAGCAGCTGAAGTAATGCACTGGCGTTATCTATTACTAAATGTCCTAAAATTTTAATTCTAGAATTCTTAATATTTTGGGAGAGTGAAATTTAAATCCAGTATGAGATTATTGTAACAAATAAAACTAGACAAAGGACTTTTTTGGTATCAGGAATTCTTCTGTAGAATCAATGCCAAGAAGAAGCCTACTGTACATTAATCTTCTGTCTCCAGGGACGCGTAATCAATCATCAATCAATCAATCAATCAATCCAATACTCACTAAATGAGGGAAGATTCCAACTAATTTAATAGGAAGATGCCCATAACCATTACATAAAAATTCTACACATTAATGGGTAGAAAAACTCCATAAACTAAATAAAATGCAAAAGTAGAGCCTTTCTATTGAAAAAATTGTATATTTTGCATTTATTCAATTTCACACTATATAGTTAATAACTTAATTCCCTTAAACAGCAACAGTATGCACATTTAATTGGAGTATATCCAACTGAACAAATGCATTTTTATCTAAAGTACCTAGTTAAACTACACAAATCTAAAATAACAAACCATATTCAAGAAATCTACTTGGACTGTCAAAATAGATTCAGGAATTGCACCTTGCAGAATTGTGCTCTTAATCTTAATTGATGTCTTTAGGATCTTATATATTAATAGTTTCTTTTCTCGATATAGATTTCCAAGTGCATATCTTACATACTTTTATCAAAAAAAAAGGTTGATGTAGCACATAGAGCTATATTTTAATTGTGGATCTCTATAAATCAAAATTTTTCTGATGCAAAGTTCATTGCATAATGCAGTCTTATCAATACAATGAACACATATATCAAAGTCCTATTTATCTTTGTACAATGGTATTTAAAAGTTTATGAACTCTTTTGAATTTTCAATAATCCTGCATAAATATGATCTAAAACATGATCTGCTCTCCAAACAAGTTCTAAAACTACCAGTAGATAAAGAATGTCATATTGATTTAGAAATATTGAAAATTCAAAAGACAACTTTTAAGCAACACTGCATTCTTTGTCAGAATGTAAAGTTACTCATTTAAACAAAAATCTACTCCAAGCAACACCAAAAGTTTGACTATTTCAAAAAATTTGGGAAGAACTTGCATTTTAATCAGTCATGAATCCAGCTGGTTGGTCTTCTGCTTCTTCGTTCATTATCACAGAATTGAAAGATTGTCTTTAAGGAGGACTGAATACATTCATGGAGGATGTGTCTATTAAAGCCTATTAGGCCTAAGTTTTAATGAGGGTGGTAAGTTTTCCACTGAAAGGTAGTAGTATGCTTCAAAATAATTGCAGGGGAACAATGATAGAAGCCTCCATCTTCTGGTATGAATATCCTACAGATGATTTTGTGTAACATAATAATTGATTCGGATGAGCATTAAGTTAATCTAGCAGGGCTATTGTTCCTATCACTTTCACCTACATTTTTCGTAGAAATTATCAATTTAGAAAATGTTCAAGCAACAGCTTTCTGATTACCTTTTCCTTTTTTAAATCTAGAATTACACCTACACCACAAGAACTATATAAAACAACAATAAAATCCCTTTTTCCTGTTACCTTTACACTGTAGGAAGCCAGCTATTTGTGCTGGAATTCTTAGATGCAGATAGACATCCTTTCGATGGGCAGAAGCCATGCTGAACCTTGAATGACTAAAGATGCCAGACTGTGTGTGTGTGTGTGTATTATGCCTGTGTTTATAAAAAAAATGAGCCATTCAAGTCTCAAAATGACATACAATTTTTTTGATTTTTTTACAATCACATTCAGAGAAGGATTCAGGATTCTTTTCAGCCCAAAAGGAGATTTGGAAGCTGCAAAAGGTCCTTCTGTAAGATGTATGAGTTAGCAAGACCCTAAGAGTTTGTCACTGTTCATTCTTACATGAAAAGTTTTAAGAAAGTTTTGAACTTAAATTAGTTTGGAAATTCAATTTTATGACAAAATGTACAATGCTTTCTGAAAGTTAGTAACTCTCCACAGTGCCCATTTAGAAAATAGGAAAAAAAAAACAGGACAGCAAAAAAAGGTTCAAATTTGCAAAGAAATGAAATAATATTTTAAAAAGGAATAGAAAATTTAGTGTTATTGCACAGTGTTTTTCCCTGTGACATGAAATAAAGCAGTAGGAGTAATTTTAAAATAAGAGCACTGTTAAGAAGAGAATACTCTAATGTGACAACACCATCAGGCTGCAGGTATTACAGCTGGATGATTCTGGAGGGGGCTTGATACCTTGATCGTCCATGACATCAAACAACAGCAGGCACTTAAGGAAGACTGAGGGAGGCAGTCTAACAGACTAGACTGTTGGGTGAGAGAGAAAAAGAAAGCAAATGAGTGACAAAGAGAAAATAATGAAAACACACAGACATAAAAAAACAGACAACAGATATTGTATGCACATCAGAGTACAAATAATTTAAAAAAACAGGAAGTTGTTATATACAAACACACCTTTTCCACAGAACATATAACAAATGCAATAGAAGAACAGAAAAAGGAATATTACTTGGATCAACCAATTCAGTGTGTTTACAAGTGGGAACTGTACTTAAATTAGCATCTTCTTCTTCTTCTTTTTCTTCAGCGTTTGTCTCGCGCTCGGGCGAGGTCCGCTAATGTCCTTGAGTACTGCTTCCGTACTTAAATTAGCATCATCAAGTCTT